ACAGAGATCTCAAGCTTCAAATAAAGCACAGCTGTGGAAGAGCTGTCATACTATGACACGTCACGGTAAAATAAATTTGCCCAGGTTCTTTGGTACATGTGTGCTGTCCTTTCGATTTACACAAATGCTGAGGACTTGCAGCTGTACTTGCTGTAGTAACTGTCTCAGCATTTCTATTTTTTCCATCACATATTTTTTTCCACTCAGTTTATATCATTTGTGTGAATAGCACAAGGCCATCCTTCGAAAGTAATCAGGGCTACTTAACAAACAAAACTCTTAATCCCTGATGTGGCCCCCCCCCCTGCTCCCAACTTCTACAAAAAAGAAGACTAAAATGCTGCTTCTCACCAGTCACTTCCTAACATGAGATAAGGGACTGCAAAAACATAAATGTTTCTCATGCCCATATGTTCATGTCTCTCTACTCTGCTTTAACCAAGAGTTTTGCATGGCTGAAAACAAAGGGGCACCACTGCCTCGTCCAAGAGCCCCAGCAGCAGCAATGCAGTCAAGGGTTCACCTCCGCTACAGTATTAGAGGTCACTGCCAGAAGGAAAAGGTTGACTTTATTGAGTTTTAGGCTAAAACAACTATAAATAAGTCATAAAATACAAGAATTTCTAAAATTTCCCAATCTTACACCTCCTTTGGGAACCTTGTTTTTGTTCACTAACACGACAACAATATCTGCACATCTCTCACATGTGGGGAGATGAATGAGACTAATTGGTAATCCAAATCTGACCCACAAAAATTCAGTAAATCCTCCCACTTGGTATAAATGAAGTCACAGTGTTCATTAAACTCATGTTCCTCCAGTGCCCACCCCATGGATGTCAAGTGCTGTACACATACAGCAAGCCCCTGCTCTGTCAAAACACATGCTGGCAGAAGAGGCAAGACAAATAAAGAACATGCTACAAGCCAAAGAAACACCATCAAGCAAGCTACAAACACTACCAATTTCAATGTTTTCAGAGATGTTGTCTTTTTCTTCAGGATAGCAGAGAACAATGTGATTAAAAGGAATGTAAAATGAACTCAAAAGGAAAAACAGCATGACAGAAAATCTCTGCATGAGAAGACAAGGTCTTTTAAAATCCATCCACAACAGGCCCTCCCAAAAATTATCTGCACTGATTTGCTTTGCACTAAAAGAAATATTGAAAATAACAGTACATTGCAGCATCTCATTTCTCAATTGCAAAAATGAATTACAAACCATTCAGATCAAATACTTCCTTCCCACGAGGAACTACAGAAAATATGCTGCATTCAAAGAGAAACCGCACAGCGTTTGCATGCAGCACACAGAACTAGTCCTCTAAGGGAACAAGCACATTTTATTTTTGCTTTTATAAACTTTGATTGCATTGAAAAACATCTTGCATAAGACTATAACAAACCATAAGTGTCATGTACTCAGTGATGTATTGTAGGAAACACCAGGGTTGTGACAATGGATCAAAACTTAAGGATGGGATGGGCAGACATTTTCCCACCTTTATGATTCTTTAATCTGATCCTGAAATCTCAAAGCATCGAAATCCAATTCTAGAGCACAATGCCAAGTACAACTTCCACTGTGGACTTTCCACAAACAACCCCATCATCATGTACACCAACATACTACTCAACAAACATGACCCTTGTTTTGCATGGAAAAAACGGACTTCCCCTGTCAGGGGATTGAAGTTCCAGGTGTTCTGTTCAGCCTGAGGAAGAGGAGACTGAGGGGAGAGCTCACTGCAGTCTACAACTTCCTCACAAGGAGAAGCAGAGGGGAAGACACCCATCTCTTCTTTCTGGTGACCAGTGACAGGACTTGAGGGAATGGCATGAAGTTGTGTTAGGGGAGGTTTAGGTTGGATATTAGAAGGGGTTCTTCACCCAGAGGGTGGTCAGACACTGGAACAGGCTCCCCAAGGAAGTGGTCACAGTACCAAGCCTGACAGAGTTCAACAAGCACTTGGACAATGCTCTCAGGCACACGGTGTAATTCTTGGGGTATCCTGTGCATGGCTAAGGGTTGGACCTGATAATCTCTGTGGGCCCCTCAGAATATTCTGTGATGTACAATATTGTGCTGTACTAATGGGATGTTTATTAACCATATCTATATTTACTCAATAATATAATTTCTCTAATTCACTAAGCTTTACACTGAGTTATTTTGGAGCATATTTTGTTGAGTATTAGCTCCAGAAATACTTTTGGTAGAGGGTGGAAAGAAATTTGGGGTTTCTGGACAAAACATTAAAGACAGTTCAAGAAATCTCAGCCAGCAAGACATAATCTTGCTATCAAAAATGTGATATGTTAGTCACACCAACATATATTCCCCACATTAAGTTTCAAAGTTAACGCAGTATACAGAAAAAAAATGGAAAAAATCACACTGTTCAGAATTATAATTTCTGTAACCCTGTCAAGATCAGGCAGAGCTCAAAATTAACAACAGGTACACCTGAGCTAGTTCTGTATTACTGTGAACAAAGAGAAAAATCAGTCGACGTGTACTGTATCTTCATCACCTCAGCTGCAGCACCCATCTGCATCCACTGGCAAGACTTCAGAGTAATTTACGCTGTTGATTAACCCTACCATCTTTACAACAAAGTTTGAGGCAGAGCAATACACGATAAAAGACCCTGTGAACTGTTTAGCTAAAAAAAAGGCGGATGCTGCAGCAAATCCCTCAGCACTGCAGGGCATGTGGGGCCTTGATCACAGCCTGTGATGAGAAATCAGCACAGATAGTGCACTTGGGTAAGTGTGGGCAGACCCCTATGCAACATCTCCAAGATCCTGCCAGAAGCCTGCCCACACAGACCTGACTACGTGAAACAGCATTTAAAATGCTAATTTTCACTTTACTACTAAAGGTATGATTAGTTGAAAGGTTCTGGTTAGCTATCAAAAAATAGCTATTTTTTCTTAAAAATTGTCATGTTCCTTTGTGTACAATTCACAAAGAATCCTAGCGCATCTCATCAGCAGTACGGCATCAGCTGCATCAAACCAAACTACAGGTAAAAATTCTTTGTTCTACTCCTGCTAAATAACAAGCAGATTTTCCAAACCATAACAACAACCATGTTGCTAAAGATCTGCTGGATTCCTTCCAAACCTCCCCCCTCAGTAATTGCCAGTTCACAAAACAGGTTCCACTACTATGGAGCATTAAGAAAAAAATATTCACACCTGTGCCCATCTCCATAAGCTCATGTCAACATGTTTCTGATGAGCAGCATTTCCATGCAAGTAGCAATGTGTAGAAGAAAAAATAAAACCACATAACAAAGGCCCATTGGCTTAAGAGCAAGAAAACCCAAATGCATCACCCATGGAAAGAAGGAGAGAATAAACATACTCAGTGTCCCTCCGTGATGAAACCCAAACCACACTGCATCTGGAACAGAACATCTTCTGCGTGCTCCCTGCACAGCCCACTAAAAGGATTCCAGGATTTGTGATCGTTTCCTGCTTTTTGGGAGGTTTATTTTAAATTGCAGTCATTATTAAATCCAAGGGGGTTGAGAGCCCGAGGACCACCACCTCCAGGACTGCAACACTGTCTTGACAGATACAGACACACTCTCCCTCCTCTCTGTAATCTGCCTGCTCTTGACAAGTCACGCTTTTAATTAAATGTCTCCTCATTAGATGTGTTGAGAGGACAGTGCATATGAACCTTGCCAAAAAATAACTTCTAATGCAAACAGCTTCTCCACCCCCCACAAAAATACACATTAGAAGCCATTCACCTCTGCCAGGCTCCCTCCTAGAGCAGATCCTGTCCTCCTCCAACCCCAACTGGCAGCTCTCTCTCCCGCAGCCCTCCCTGCTCGTGAGCCCTGCATGGATGAGAACATCCAGAGAAATCCCGAGCCCCTGGTTGGGAGCAGCACCGCGTGCTCGGTTGCTGCCTTGAAATTACGGCGGCCCCCCATTATCTGACCCGTCCCTCAACATCTCCCGACAAGTGCATCCTTCCCAGTCAGCCCTGGGATGAAGACAGGCTGCCCTTGTCCAGGGGAACACTGCAGTATTCTGCAGTAGGGCCGTCTGCCGGGGGCAGGGCGCCGCGGGCCCTGGGGTTTGGGGAAGGCATGACTGACAGAACACAGCAAGGCTTTTACGCTGTTTATTTCCACGAGAGAAGGGTGGGAGGCACCCGCTCACCCAAAGAAAACCCTACAGAAGTGCCCTTGGCTGCCAAGGATATATTGGGAACGCCCCTCTCAAAGGGACCCTTTGGCAGTCAGGATCGGCACACTCAGATTTCTGGTGGATGGTGGAGAGGAGACCCGGCGACTTGAGACCTTTGGATTCACGCACAGAAAGAAGCAAATGCCACCTCCCTGAGTATACAGAGCGTGAAAATAATATCGCATAACCGACCGACTGCAATTTTAATCCAGGCACACATCAACTTTTGAGCATCTCCAGGCTGAGATTTTTCTCCATCGCTCCCACCAGCCTGGTACCGAAATCCCCACTGCCCTTCCCAGCCCCACCCCAGGCTGACATGCTCCGTGCCCGGCTCCTCCGCACCGCGCTCCCGCCTCGCTGCGTCCATTCTGCTAACGCTCTGACAGCCCAAAGCAGGGGAGAAAAAAGGAGGAGAAGGAAAAGAAAAAGATGTTTAAAAAAAAAAAAAGAGGCAGGCTTGGAAAACGCTGACCCTGGTGCAAGGTAACAGCTTGCATGTTTGAGCAGGAGAGACAGCGAAAGGAGGGAAGGAAGAGAGAGGGAGAGGTGGTGTCCTGCAAGCAACTCGCAAGCCCCAAACCCTGTTGGGGTGTGAAGCATTTACAGGGGCCCCTTTGCCAGGCTGGTCCCAGCCCCGGGGAGGGTCCCCCAGCGCCGCGGGGAGAGGTCGCGCCGCCACCAGAGCCCGATGCGGCTGCACCGCCCGGGGCGAAGTTTCGCCAGGCCAGGTGAGAAGACACCTCCCCTCCCCTGTGCCGCCCCCAGACCCCTCAGCCTCTTACCTTCATGTCGCTTATGATGGTCTGGAAGAGCCCTCCGAGCGCACTACATTCCTTCTCTATCACAGCCTCCATTTTCCTGGCTCGAGCTCACTGGAGGAGCAGGATTTCACCGCTACCGCTGCAACTGCACTGCTCAGCTGGAGGAAAATCAGACACCCCGGGCTCCCACCTCACCCAAAACAAAACAACAACAAAAAAATAAAAAATGGGGGGGTAAACAAGCCGATATAGGCAATGAGGGGGAAAAAACCAAAACACCCCAACACACCTGTACCCCTGTCTGCCTGCACGTCTACAACGGGAAAAAGGATAAAATCCAACCTCTCTCCTACACGCGCCTCCCCGCCCCGCTCCGCGGCACCCGGGCACTCAGCGCCGAGCGGGCACTACGCGCCCATGCGGGGGCAGCCACAGGGCCCATCGCTGCGCATCGCGGCCCCGGCCCCCCGCGCCTCCCGGCACGGCAGCGCTCAGGGCAGCGGGCGCCCGCGGCGCTGGGCGAGAGCGCACCCCAAAAAATTAAGTGGGGGGAAAAAAAAACGGTCTCTGTATAAAAAGGGGACGAGATCACGCCGATCCTTGTGGCGCAGCCTGGGGAAGGGGAGAGTCTCTGCAAACCCCAGTGGAGCAGACTGCAGCTAAAGCACCCGACCCGCTGCCTGCTCTCTCCGGGAACAGCCCGCTCCGCCCGCCCGTGCCGCTCCCGCGGCGGCAGCGCCCGCCCCCGTCCCACCCCGTACCGAGCGCCCCGCCCGCCCCGCCGCGTCACCGGCGCGGCCGCCCATTGGCCCCGCGCGGCCGGTGCACTCGGGACCGCGGTTCGAGTCCCGCTGCTGCCGCGTCCGGGTCCTGGTAGTGGTGCTGGTCCCTATTTCGGGGCAGGCGCCGGCTGCGTGTCTTCGGCTCGGCGAAGAAGTGGTTTTCTTCTGGTGACATTCGCCGAAATGGCTGAAATTCGTCTCTGCTGGTGAAAAGCATCTGCCGCGACACCCCCGATACCGAGCTGAGAGCCCTCAGCGAAGCAACGCCCTGGGTTGTACAGCCGGCAGCGGCTGGGCGGCTGTTCCCTCATCCTGTCCCAGACATGCCAGACGATACCCAAGGGTGTGAGAGTGGGTTGTATAAAATGTAGGGGGTTAAAGTAATTCAGTTTGCACATTAACTGTGCCAAATTTTGCGAACATTTGGTCGAAATCCTCTGTTTCTGCATGTAGGCAGTCAGTGGCTCACCCTACACGTGTAACAGCGGAACAGGAGCAGCACCGAGGGTCCCCGAGACCCCCCGTTGGCATAAATGGAGCAGTGCCCCGCTGTTTTGGGGAGCAGAGCTCCAAAGGTCCTGCTGCCGCCCAGCCCCGAGAAGCTGCGCACCCAGGAAAACAGGTTGTGTTGCTTTGTGGTTTAGTAAGAACCACTTGTAGAACCAGGAACGTGTAGGTATGGAAGAATCAGCCTTAGACGTCAAAGGGGTGTGAGGGGTCTGTCTTTCTGTACATACACACAGCAGTATGTGAACAGCCATGACTGAGAGGGCAGTTTGGAAATTTGAGTTATTAAAATTAAAATTTATCCTATGAACTCTGCCTGAGAGGAGTCAGTGTGCATGCCAGTGTATTTTGCTTCATTTCAGACAGTACCTGGGTACATGCATAAATTAATATTGCATGTTAATTTATCACTGAGGGAAAAGGCTGGACAGGTGCCCTTTCTCCAGCAGGGCCGTGGCAGCACAGGCTGGGGCAGCAGTTTCCCTCGTCTTTGGAGAGGAAAACCCTGCACAGGTCTTACCAGGCGATTCATTTTGGAGCTCTGCATGACCCTCGCTCCCACAGACAGGTCCAGCAAACGTCCCCAGAGGCCTGTAATAGCGACACCTGCCCATCTCATACAGAGCTTCTGGTGCTGTCACATAATCAGCGTGACAGCGTTCCCCTGGGACAGAGTCACAGCCAGCAATTCGGCAGGGAAAGTTGGTGGCCTACTTTGCTTTCTTCAGCCACTCTGTTTCTGGGATGATCCTTGTTTTAGGGCAAACAGTGACTTGGCTAACCTCCTTTCTGGGAATGAGAAGTTTCAGTGTAAAAGGTTGTGGAGTGCACAATGCACATGAGAGAGGAGGGTGAAAAACCTCCTATAAAGAAAAGCTGTTGTTTAAGGACTGCATTAATGCTTTAGTTAATAAATCAGAGCTGCCTTCTCTGTAGCAAGCAACAAGTCTTCATACAGTGATGAAAGAGCATGCAGGTATACAGCCAAAAAAACGAACTACTAATTTCAAGCCTCAATAAATTGTAACAAGTAAATTAGGCATACAATGTAAAATAATGGGTTTTACCTTGCAAATTTGAAAGGAGAAACTGTCCATGTCACTGATTATGATGAGTAACTTGCTAAACCACTGTAACTCAAGTGCACCCTGTCACAACCTAGAGAGACCTTATCAAAACTGTTCAGGTGGAATATTTTTCTGTCAGAAGGTGTTAGGCCATGAAAAATGGAGACGTGATGATTTCAACACACTTTTACATTCAAAAAATCAAAGCGCAAACAGGAAAGTATTTGTTCTTTTCTGTATTTTCTGTTTCAAATCTATTTTGTTAAATTTTCATTGCATTTATAACTTTGAATAAAGATTGTGTTATTTTTATATTTTAAAATTTTTGTTTGTTCATAGCCTAACACAGCTAAAAATAAAGTAAGGGCAGATAGCCTGAAGGCATCAAAATAGGATATTGATAACAGAATTATTTTTTTTCTTTTACTTTGAAGGACATTTCAGACTTTTAATTTTATTCTGCCTTTTAGTGACTTCTAAGGATAGAATTTTTTGCGGGATGACAATTCAGCTTCAACCAGCTGTAGAGTGAGAGTTAACATTTTTCTTTGAAGACCTGAGTCCAAATGGTTGTTTAAAGTGTGAGTAAGAAGTAGTTTGGTGATGTTGTGGTAATGTCGGGTTACCATCTGTCACATTTTTTCTGGGATCTGCTTGATTGATTCCTAGCAAATCACTTCCTGCAAGCATTATTTGCAAAACTTTATTATGGGCAAAGGCTATTTTTGTGTTCATGAGCCATCGTTACCAGGGAGCATTTCATTACCAAGTGATGACATTCTGTAAAATATCCTGATTCATGGGCAAATGCCAGCACCGCTTCTTGACAATGGGTGCATCTTACTCAGTAGCCCCCAACAGATGTCAACCTTAAAATTTGTCAACTTCACAATAGTAGCCCATGTTCTGACATCCTTCTACACGTTGGGTGCTCTGCTGACAAAAAGCCTATTCCACTGAAACCCCGAGTAGGTTTATGCTTAAGAAAGAATTTCTCCAGAGATAAGTGGGCAGGTTGAGCAATGACTTGGTCACTTTGTCTGGCCTGGATTGTTCCTGCTGCTCCCCCATACTGAGCACCAAGGCACAAAGTACAGACAGAGTGAAGCAGGACACAAATCCGTGAGGGTCAGAAGTCCACAGTGTGTTCCCAAGTCTGCCAGCGGACTTGCCTCATGACCAGAATATATCCATTCAAATTTCTGTGCCTTGCTTTCTCCTTCTGTGAAATGAAAATCCCAATTTTTAAAAGCATTCCTGGTGTTTATGCACCAAGCACAAGTGTGAAATGTTTTTGCAATCAGAACAAATATATCCTCTGTCAATGTACTGTAAAAGGTTTAACTGTGGTGCTTATTTAGGTCCTGATCTTATAAAGATTTAAGCCCACTTATGAATGTGAGTAGCCCCGTGGAAGACTAGATTACACATGCACTTAAGTGTTATCAGATTGAAGTCATAGAACAACAATCACAAAAGATACTTAATCACCTTTAAATTACAGTGTTCCTAATTTAGCTAATGTTATTCCCCAAGGAAAAATTGCCTCATCTATCATACAATCAAGAAAGAATCAAGGGCTGTTCCTTCAAGTGGTTGACAGTTCAAAAAGAGATATGATTTTAAAAGAATAGGTTGCTAAAGGCTGAACTATTTAATTGAATTATCTCTTTAAGAAATTGATGCAAATTAATATTATAATACTCCATTATATTGCTACAGAATCTTTCATCCTTGAGCCTTCATAAACTATATTAATAAACTCAAGTAGCATATGTATACTTTTTTTTTAATGAAACCAGTAATCTGTCCCCATTTGAGGCTTTCTAATAATGATTTATATTTTGAAGGATGATGGTGTTTTCTTCTTTATAGACTGAGAAAAAAGAGCCCAAGAGCTTCCAAGGGGTGGAGTCCCTGACACGATTTGCTCCAGTCCTTGAGGTGCTCACAGGGTACAATCCTGCTCTGTCTATGAAAGCAGAGAAAGGTAGGATAACAGGCAACAAAGCCAGAAAGATGACAAAAGGAATTGATTAATCCATCTGAGACAGTTGTCTCAATAGCATTACAAATATTAGATAGTGACCCTTCTCTATCACTAGTGAAAAATCTGTATTATATTGTTCACTGGCCATACATGGAGGTGGGGACCTGGTGAAGGAGAATTCCCTTTTTTTCATGAGCATATGTTTACAGTATTGCAGTTTCAGAACAGGAGAAATAGCAATGTTGTGGTTCTCCAGCTTTATCTGGGTTATTTCTATGTCCCAAATTGTTTTTAAATTACCAAGTAGCATTACTGTAGTGGGGGTACCTCTGCAATCGTTTCTGCTTGCTGCTTGCTGGCAAAATAACAGCTGTTATTGCTTTACCAGGATTGATTTCCATAGAACAGCTCCATCTAAAGCCTACCTACAGGCAACAACTCTGCAGTAAAATATCAATGCAGTCTCATTTTCGGCTTTTCTCAGAAGGCAAAAAAAAGGCATTTTCAGCAAAGTTCAACATGGGATGTAATTTATTCAGGAGACATAGAGGACGAGATGCTTATTTTTCAGGGACTAAAGCAGTCTTCCACTACCCTCCTCACCAACAAATAGGGAAGCTGCCCCTAGGTATCTCTATGCACAAGCCACGAAATCTGAGAATCGGGGTTTGTGTGTCATATCAAGGGGTTTGCAGAAAGGCCACATTTTAAAGTAGGGGGAAGGTGACATGTTCTTGTTCACATGTACCATCTCAGGCTGGTAGATCACAAAAGGAGCTGAGGTCTATCACCTCCTTCCAAGTAACACTGCTCTTAAAACTCTTCCATGATTAACCTCAGCAAATGTCCAAGGGGGGTCCCATGAACAAGGTTATGTGGGCGCTTTCATCCCATGCAGGTCTGGAGTGGCACCAACAGTGTATTTCCACATTCACTGCTCAGCCACAGCTTCCTCTCTGCAGCATCCCTGTCACCAGCACCGGAGCTCAGGCAGCCATGTGATGGGTCACTCAGGGACCTGATTTGGCTGAAAACTAAGGCTACAAGATGATTTTGTCCCAGAGGAGGACCCTTCCTCTTTGTGTTTCACAAAGAAGGGGCATTCTGTATAACCATTCCCATGCTCGTTCCCCAGTAGATACCTTCTTGTTTCTCATCTACAGCCAACACAGGTTTAGAAACAGAACTGTTGATCTGAACTCTCATTCAGTCTGACTTCAGTACCTTATGTCAGGTTCTGGTGTGGACACATTCACTTCACAAAACCAGGCCTTAGCTTCACATTTTAAAAGTGCTCAACTGATGCAACTTGAAGGCATGCCCTAAATTAACTTGCATAAAACTTCCAAGTAGTAGTCAAGCAGAGAGAGAA